CTCTCATTATAAAATTGAGCGAGAATCTTGAATTATTAATAAAGAATGGTCTAATGAAGCTTACCGTTGGATACTGCACAATATGGAAGAAACAAAAGATACAAGTATGTGTATATATACTGTCAGTAATTATCAGTATAATACTGTATTATAAAGGAAATACAGGAACCACTGGAAGAGGAGGTACAGGAGATAAAGGAACAACCTCATGATACAAAGGTAATAATTTGTGTTTGATTATTTTATTAAACTAACTTAATAGGAAAAGAAAGTAGCAAAACTGGAGGAGAAAGAAACAGAAGGAGCAACACCTCAATCAATAATTAATCAAGGTATAATAATACATTATGTAATGGTTGTTGACTGGTATTATTAATTGATGAATAATTATTATATTTCAGATATACTATCAGCTGATACAAAAGTGACAATAATTAATGGACAATTGATAAAAGAAATAAAAACAAACAAACAATTAGAAGAAACACTAACAAGTAATTATAATAAAACTTTATTAATTATAATTGAAATAATGTAGAAGTGAGAGTAAAGGAAATTCAACAACTTCTGTCTTTACCAAGAAATACTAGTTCAGGTTAGAATCAATAATGTTTATTTTTAATAATTATTTGTTATTTATAGCATCACACAGTATCAGAAGAGGAATGAAAATGGAAATAGAACAATTGCAATTATTATTAACAGATAAAACTGGTATTGTATCATAATGTATGTGTTAGTGTATTATAATTATACTATGATAGGTTTACTGGATCAGAATGAATCATTAAGAGATATTAAGAGAGAAATACCTGAACTACAAGAACAAATATCATTAATGAGTGTAGATATACTAAATAAAACAGAAGAAAATGAAAAATATAGAAATATGATAAGAAGTATGTGCCAATAGTTTACTACCTGATTAACAATTTTATCACTGATAGTGAGTAAACCAACATCTAAATCTGTTTTTATTACTTGTTGTGACTATCATGCAATGGGGAGAGATGAAATATCATTCAGTGAGGGAGAGCAGCTAGAGATATATGAGAAGGAAGATAGTTTTTGGTGGAAAGGAAGATCCTTGGTGTCTGGTGATGATGGAGACGTTCCTAGTAGTTGTGTTTACTCAATGTTAGAGTCACTTCAATTGTTAGAGTTTATGCTGTCAGTGGAAGAAGTATCCCTTCCTATTCTACAGAAGATAAGGAATGATTCATCTAGTAATGATGAGAAAGCTTCTCTTTTCTTGGAGACTGTTAATGATGATCCTATTATAATACCTGCACTGAGACAAGACAAGGAACAACATGACGAAGGTAATATTTTGATTGTTGTGACAGTCTGTATAATCATGTTGATGAGTATATGGTATATTTAAAAATGTACATTTATGCACTATACATGTACATGTAATATCATTTGTACAAATATATTTAGGGAAAGTGTATAAAATTAATTCATTGATTTTACTGAAAATTATACTCTGTATATACTTAATACATTATAACAAACACGCACATTCACTTAATACAGTTTAGTCAGTGATAACTACTAGCTGTGTCTGCATTTGTCTTTGCAAGTTGTGTGTGTTTGTATATACACATGATGTGAATATGTGTATTATTATGTACATACATGTATATAAGTATAATCCTTTGGTTTATATTAGGAGTCACTGGAAGAGTGTACTGGAACAGTCACAGGGTAACCCTTACCTCTCCATCTCCAGTTCAGTGTAATGAAGTGATTAGTAATATTAATAGTAATCATAAGGAAATAACACTCAACAACTCATCTACTAACAGTACAGTATCTCTACTATCATCAACTAAACTGCATACACTAAACCTGAGGAAGTTTGAGATACGGACCACTCCATTAACTATTGATTGTATCCAGTACTTGTGTATACTACTAGCTAATAATAAAACAATACGAGAACTACTCATCATGGGCCACTCCATTAGTGACAGAGGAGTTACTAATATCTATCAAGCACTCGAACACAACTCTACACTTACCTCATTAGACCTTTATTATAATCCTCTCATCACTTCTACTAGTGGACAAGCTCTTTCTCACCTCCTCCTCAATAACTCATCACTAGTTGAACTGGATCTAAGTGGTACTTCATTGTCTACTGAGTCAATACTACTTATCCTCCAGTCACTAATGGATAATAAGAAGATAAGGAGACTCAGGCTAGACAAGCGACACAAAGAGACTTGTATTAATACTTATTCTAAGTATCACCTCATACAAGACAGAGTAGACTGGTATACTAACTAATCATAAAAGTTTGTGTAATGATCTCGTGATACAACAATTATTATACCAAGTCAGTTTACCTTCACCAATAAGTAACCAATCAGAATACACTACTTTACATGATAAAAGGTGGACCAGTGACACATTATATTATCATGAAACTAACACATGAACATCTCTTGATCTCTCATCAATCTCTCTCTCCTTCTCCAGTATATATGGTACATTCCTTCTCTTACTGACACACACTCATGTCACTGTCTCTCTCTTTGTTGTCATCATTCCTTTCTATTTCCCTCTCCTTTATTTCTATCTCTCCCTCAGTCTTTAATAACTTTTCTCTAGCTGACCTTCCTCCATTTCAGCAAGTCAGTCTTGTTTCCATTCTCAATATATTTCTCTCAAAAAGGAGCAAATAAAAAGAAAGTAAAAGACAAAGAAAAAATAAAAGCACATTTATGTGGATGTGTTACTTTTTCTATTGTTGTTTTATAATAATAATAATAATAATAATAATAATAATAATTTGTAAAATTATTGGTACATGTACAAAAAAATAATGGTACACTATAAGATAACTTGTCTTAAATTGTGTATACAATATAAGTTGTAGGTATAGGTAATATGGTATGGTATTAAGATAGGAATGTATTTGTATATAGCAAGGTTAATATGGTATATCATTGTGTTATATTAAGCTTTAAATATAATGGTATGGTATTATAAAATAAGAAAGTACTTTATAGCAAGGTTAATATGGTATGCATGTACATGTAGGTATCATTGTGTCATTTAAAGGTCGTAGGTATAGTAGTAGAAATTAGAAGGGTACAGGTTATATAGTGCAGGTATAGTAGTAGAAATTATAGGAAACATGTATTTATACCTAGGATATAGGCTATAGTGTAGAAATTAGAAGGTAGTTATAGGTATAGTATAGGTATAGTAGTAGAAATTAGGAAGCAATTATAGTTATCATTAGGTTATAGTATAGGTATTGTATAGTAGAAATAGAAAGTAGTTATAATAAAAATTAAGAAACAGATAGTTGTAGGATACAGGTTCTATAGTGTAGGTATAGGTTATAGATCTAGGTTTTATATTTTTTATGATTATTTTTATTATTATTTTCTTATGATTATTTTTATTATTATTTTACTATGATTATTTTATTATTATTTTATTATGATTATTTTTATTATTTTTTTATGATTATTTTTATTATTATTTTCTTATGATTATTTTTATTATTATTTTACTATGATTATTTTATTATTATTTTATTATGATTATTTTTATTATTTTTTTATAATTAAATTTATTATTCTTTTATTATGATTATTTTTATTATTTTATTATGATTATTTTTATTATTTTTTATAATTAAATTTATTATTCTTTTATCATTTATTATCATTTATTATTAGTATTTTTTTTACCTGGGGCCCCAGGTTTTTATAATTTTTGGGCAGCAATGTAGTGCCGACTCCACATGGCGCTGCCTGGCATCAGTAGTGGCTACTACTGCTAGTGATGCTAAGAGCACTACATACAAGAAGAGTATAACAATACTAAAAGTAAGCTATGTATAAGGATTTTAATATTATCATTGATAGGTTCAAGCTGAAATAAAGATGAAATGTCAAGTGGAATAATACTCAAGATTGAAGCAAGAGATTTATATACTAGTTTTTAATCTTTTAAAGAACAATTCTTTTAAATTTTAATTGCATGTATTTATATGGTGATTTGAACTGTCATTGCCTGTTCTACAGTTAATGCTGTGCAGTAGTGCTAAATGAGCCACCAACACATGCACACCACATTATAATGAGTGTACAAATTATCATGTTGTGTAGAAATTCAAATTAAAAT